CATCAAAATCATGCCAGGACACCTCATTTTTCTAACCCTAACCCAGTGATGGTGAACCTTTTAGAAACCCAAGTGTCCAAACTGCCACCCAAAACCCACTTATTTATCGCAAAGTGCCAACACTGCAATAAAACCTGAAAACTGAGGTTTTAGTTTAGAAAAAAAGCTCACAGCCAGTCCAAGCATATATGTGTGTGTGTGCGCGCACGCACGCGCATTGCAGTGCACTGACTGGCCATGTGAAAGTTTGGATGAGTTGTGGTTAATGAGTCACGGCTTGTGATGTCATCATCTGGCACCACTACTCCTTTCTGAGCATGCACATGTCCCCTATGTACGATGTATCTGTTAATATGATTTCAAGACCCTTAGACTGGTATTTATAACTGCATATTATGGCATAGATTAGCCTACCCAACCACATGCCCTCCAAAAATGTTGGGCCTCATTGCTCAAGCACCAGCCAGAATGGCCAATGATCAGGAATATTTGTGTTTGCAGTCCAAAATATCTGGACAATGCCAAGTTGAGGGAAGGCCAGGCTAATGTTAGTGGGAAATCTTTTAACATGCCATTTTGCTACACACAGCAATCCGTGATGTTTCCAAATGGAGTGAAAGGGCCAGAACGCCAATGGAAGAAATGTATGGACATGAGTACTTCAGCAAAATCTGTGCAGGCTGGGTGGATGGCATCTCCCAGTTTCGACACAAACCAGATGGTAAGGCATCAAACCAGCAACAATACGTTTTAGGCTCCAAGGTGAAGCTGTATTTTCTTTGATTGTGGTCCTCAGAATGATGTTTCCATGTATATGCCAGTTCTTTTTGGGCTGCCATAGTTTCAGTTTGTTTGCTTGTTTACATTAATACCACACTTTTGCAATTGCACATCTGTATTCATCACAGTGAAGGTGTATGCATGCACATGTGTGTGTAAATCAATCCCCTCCACCTCCCATTTTTGCTCTGCCAGTACTCTGAATAGACCACTTGGGGTGAGGAAAAAGGAAGTGACAACAGATGTGCATGGAAATCACAGGTGCAAGTTTGCAAAAGATTTATCTATGTATGTATTTATTTATTTAAAACATTTCTATGCCACCCCATTCGCCGAAGCCTCGGGGCGGCTCACAACATAAAATTAAAATATAATACATTCAAAATATAAAACAAATTAACAATATAAAATAAGTTGCCCTGGCCAGATAAAATAAGCAAATAATATTAACAATTAAAATGACGTTTAAATAAAAAGGTCTTCGCCTGGCACCGAAAAACAAATAACGACGGCGCCAGGTGGACCTCTCTGGGGAGCGCATTCCATAGATTGGGCGCCACCGCAGAGAAAGCCCTCCTCCGAGTACCTACCCTCCTAATTTCTTTCACGGAGGGTTCCCGGAGAAGGGCCTCTCCCGCAGATCTCAAGGGGCAGGCGGGCGTATATGGACGTAAGCGCTCCCTCAGGTAACCAGGACCCAAGCTGTTTAGGGCTTTATAGGTCATCACCAACACCTTGAATTGGACCCAGACTTCAATGGGAAGCCAGTGAAGCTGACGGAGGACTGGAGTCATGTGAACATCTAAAAACATAGCAACAGAGAAAAGATTGCACCTGAAGGCTACAACATCTGGAAGGCATTGGGGTGGGGAAAGTTAGTGCAGTATTAATTCTGCAACAGGAAAGACCATGATTAAGGCTATCTTTTTCTCTGGTAGCATCCTAGTTGTAGAAGGCCCTCTTCAGAGAACTGAGGTTAGCTTCCTCCTGCACTGCTTTTAGGTGCTGGCCCCCAAGTTTTTAGCAGTTCATAACCACTGTTTTTTATAATTAATCCCCAATTTAAAAAATGTTGTAGTGTTATGCATTTTAGATGTTTCTACTTTTTATTCTATATCATGTCAGGCATTCACTGAGCAGAGTGGCACTCCAAAAAGCATTACATATCCTTGTAACCCAAGTGTGCTGTTAAATCTACAAGGGAATCTAGTTACCATTACAGAGTCCTAATGGGACTAGTAACATACACTATAAATTTAATAAATAAATAAAATCTGAATAAATTAATCATGGTTACCCCAGTGTAGATATACAGGGGCAGGTTGTTTGTTGTCCACCAGAGCCTGCAGTTCTCACTAACCATAGCCAGAATAGCTACTGGTGATGCATGATGGAAGTTGTAGTCCAACAGTACTTGGAGGGACACACACTGCCCAGCCCTGGTAAAATACTAACAATGGAAAGGCAAGAAGAAACTTAGATAGGAGTTGAGCACAAGTCCTCCATGTGCTTCCAGTCACCTAACCACGTTTAGCAAATTGGGAATGTTATGTTTTCCCCTGGACTTTTAACAAATTGAATTGCAAGATGGAAGTGTTTTGAATTAAATGAGAAATATCTGCTCTAAGTCAAATATGACTCTGTAGCGTGACACCAGCAATCTACCCGCAAATAAGGAACTGGAGTGGCCCTGATTCCCGAAAAAACTAGGAGGCAAGCTTATTGCAAAACCTTGGAGGGAGATGAAATCCAGCCTAGTTGCTTGTGTTGTTTTTCTGCTCCCACCTTAAAACACATATTAACATTACCCATTTGTACATCTTAGCCAAGTCAATCATTGCCAGTTCTAGTTAAAAAGCAATAACTGTTTGGAAGTAATTTCTACTGTAATTTAGCATTTGAACCCAAGATGTCAGAAGCACCCTCTGAATATTAACTGCTGTTCAGTGTGTGAAGGGCAGAGAGGTTAAATTACTTGAAGGATACAGAACTGGCATCAAAGCTGGGAAAAGAATTCAGCAGTCTCAAAGGTTCACCACTGTTTTAATTACTTGCAGTAGTTTTGAACATTAAAAGAAATGTTAGCATGCTTAAACACACTGCATTATACTTGTAGTGCAAGCTTTAAGAACAAAGCTAAAATAATCTCACTCACAGCGATCCTGAATTTCAAACTCCTGTAGATTATAATTTGTGTTGGTCTATGTATACTCAGGGTAAGCTGAAGTTTAAAACAGAGGTAGGCTGAAATAGCAAGAAAGCTCTTCTATAAAATAATCAGCATTTACGTAGCCATGCTATCTAAGAACTTAGTAAAACTAAAAGCCTTTTCAAACGTTGGAAAGGAGAAAATGTCGTTACTGTGACTGTACCAGCCAGAGGATTGGCCCTTGAGGAAGTACTTACATTGTGATGAAATTGATATTCACGGTTAACACAGAACTGCTCACCCGAACTGCTATTAAGCCACTGTACACCCAGAAAAGTGCAACCATTTCATTTCCCATTGAGTGGAAAAGTAGGTTTGGTTCAGTGTTACCATTTTTCTTTAAAAATAATTTTTTCACTTTTGCCTCCACAGGGAGTATCTGTCAGTCTTTGCTGCCACTTATTAAGTGCCCAACATTAATAATACATGGTGAGAAAGATCCCTTGGTACCGCGTTTTCACCCAGAATATCTCCACAAGCACATTGTCGGTTCACAGTAAGTTGAACACTTTTGGGACGTGTCCTGAAATGAAGGTCAGCCATTCTGTAAATATTTCCCATACCTGAAAAATGCCCGTTTGTAGGTGACTTCAGATGCTGCAAACACAGGTTGCAGGAGTGCTTCCACATGTTCTTCTAATACTTCAAGGGTTGCATCCATACCCACAAGTAGAGTGATATACAGTGCGCTCACTGGAGGAAGTGTTTGTACAGAGGTCCCATTATTGCATAAAAACTCAAACTGCAACTTCCCTAAAATCAACAACTCAACTGTTAGCATTACAGTTGCCACCATGTGACTCTGGCATTGGGGATTAGCAATGTAATAAGTTGCTACAACAATGTAGTGTTGTAAGCCGCCCCGAGGCTTCAGCGAATGGGGCGGCATAAAAATGTTTTAATTAATAAATAAATAATATGAAAACCTAAGTACCTTTTGAATTGCCCTAAACATCAAAGTCAAATTAGTTTTGGAACTCTCTGTCTATGTGGAAGTCTGGAGTTTGTGTTACAGAATAGAATGCCCCCCTTCGCCTGCAACATTTTGAACTTCCTGCAGTGATTAACTAGCTGCACTCTTTAAATGTTTCTTAAAGAACACTTCATAGACAACAGTACTTTTTTTGTAGGGATGGCAAGATCAAGGTTGCAATCCTGCATATTACTGAATGCAGGCCTTCCCCCAAGTAAACAGGCATAGAACTGGACCATAAATCTATCTGCCAGCTTACTGTCTGCTTTGAAAGAAGTTGCAACTGAAGAAAAACACAGTTCACACCGTTTGTATTCCCCTTCCCATAATGTCATAGACAGTCTGTTATACTGCCAGAGACCTTGAGAAATTTTCTTAGCCATTCTCAAAAGATAAGCATATACCAGCAAGGAATCTTTACACTGCTCCACTTCCTACTAATATCCAGAACATGGTGATGTCCTAGCGTTGAACCGTTCATTTTTGCTCCGTAATAATTCATTTATGCACATTTGTGTTATATCCACCTAACTGCATCAACAGGTTTGCTTCTCATTACACATAGGTAGTATACCAAGTACATGTAAAGTTAGAAGTGTCCACAGGTTCTTTGGGCCCTACAATTTATTCAGCGCTTCTCATTACAGGTTGCATTTTGTACCTGAAGGAAAACATAATCTACATCTACGTTTTGCAGAGGAATTTAATGAAATGGTGGAAAAATTTCTTCTATAAATATTGTTACTTGATATCTATTGACAAACCTGTTTCATTGCTGTTTCTAATCGTGAGATCGGTAAGATTTAAGTATGACTCATCAACTAGAGATGCTTTAGGAAAAGTGAGAAAGAAACTCAAACTCTTTCCTGTCTTAAATTTATTATCCCATATGTTACAATATAGCCATATACCAACAGTTTTTCTATATAAAAGCATCCCGTCAAAGAAAAAATTACTAAATGAGGACTGAAGTCCACCCTTGCTAATCTGGGCCACTGTGTTTATTAGCAACTTTAAGGAAATATTGAGCAACACTCATTTCAATAAATACTTTTATTGCCAAGATCCATTTTGAAGAAAACACAAACAGAAGTCCTAACTCAGAAGACATGCCTTTTTATAGAGTCCTCCACATTAACACCACACAAAAGCCATTGTGCATTTTGATTTCATGGCAGACATCCTTGATGAGTTTACACAGTGCATAAAAGAATGGCAAAATGATACACTGACACCAAAAAAGCATGCTCTGTTGTGGCCATCAGAATCCATGCCTGCTCTGTTAGCTGCTGCAACCCACCCTCACACCAAGTCCTTTTCATTCTCTTAAAGCAGTAAGCTATTCTCAGTTTTCCTGATGACAGACATGATTTTGTATATGCACAGCCCAATTTGCACATAACAAGAAACTACCATGGGTTATGGTGATTGTAAAAACCAGATCAATGACTTTCAAGTTTGACATCACAAGACTACTGCATCAGAAAGAGATAAATCCTCTGTTGTGCAACCCAGTGGCAAGCGCCCCACCCATAAGAAAACTTTTTCCATGATGTACTTGTTCACACATACTTTAAGGAACCCCATCGAACAGTTTATTACAGATAAAGTGCTGAACACTGAGCACACCACTCCAATTGCAAATGAAAAACGCTTCTATGCTATGCATTGAGAGAACACAAGCAAGGTGAAGGGAAAGAGCGCAAACAAAACATCTGTGCAAATCTTTATAGTGTTGTTCTTTTACATGTACAAAAGCTATTCATTATATGGGGGGGGAGTTGGCTTGCTCCCTAATGGAGATACCAAACTAATATATATGTACCTTTTCAATATGGCCAACTTAGTTCAGCCACAAAATTTGTCTTTCGGTGAGGAAGCTAAGAGGTCACCCTCTTATAAACTATTAAAATCTCTCTGCAATAAAACTTAATGCCTCAGTGATGTTGATTGACAATTTCAGCACTGAAAAAGCTGAAGGGACTAGTTACAGAAGGCAGCATATTCTTAAAATTTCAATATTTCCCAGTTCCTTCTGGACTACAGGTGCACTACCATCATATCGTTCCACTTTTATTATCTTAATTGTTCTATTTCCATGTAAAGGTTCTCCCTAAATCACATATTTGCCTGTTAAAATACAAAGATTTAGGTTACATAAAGAGTGAAGTAACAAAACTGCTGACAGAGGCAACAGTAAAAAGCACCAAGTTTAACTGAAAAAGCATGCATCAGGACGGCCGAACAGACTTCACCCCAGGACTTGCCTCACTGTGCTAACCACTCCCTAAGCCCTACGCCTCGTCCTCCTCGCCTTCCTCCTCGAACTCCCCCTGCTCATCAGCCGTGGCATCTTGGTACTGCTGGTATTCGGACACCAGGTCGTTCATGTTGCTCTCGGCCTCCGTGAACTCCATCTCGTCCATGCCCTCGCCGGTGTACCAGTGCAAGAAGGCCTTGCGCCGGAACATGGCCGTGAACTGCTCGGAGATGCGCTTGAAGAGCTCCTGGATGGCGGTGCTGTTGCCAATGAAGGTGGCAGACATTTTGAGGCCTCGCGGGGGAATGTCGCACACGGCCGTCTTGACGTTGTTGGGGATCCACTCGACAAAGTAGCTGCTGTTCTTGTTCTGCACATTCAGCATCTGCTCGTCCACCTCCTTCATGGACATCCTGCCCCGGAAGATGGCCGCCACCGTCAGGTAGCGCCCGTGGCGTGGATCGCAGGCCGCCATCATGTTTTTCGAATCGAACATCTGCTGGGTCAGCTCCGGCACCGTCAGGGCGCGGTACTGCTGGCTGCCGCGGCTGGTCAGCGGAGCAAAGCCGGGCATGAAGAAGTGCAGGCGGGGGAAAGGCACCATGTTGACCGCCAGCTTGCGAAGGTCGGCGTTCAGCTGCCCCGGGAACCGGAGACAGGTGGTCACTCCGCTCATGGTGGCAGAGACCAAGTGGTTGAGGTCCCCGTAGGTGGGCGTTGTGAGTTTCAGAGTGCGGAAGCAGATGTCGTACAGAGCCTCATTGTCAATTGAATAGGTTTCATCCGTGTTCTCCACCAGTTGGTGGACGGAGAGGGTGGCATTGTATGGCTCCACCACTGTGTCCGAGACCTTAGGAGAGGGCATGACGCTGAACGTGTTCATGATCCTGTCGGGATACTCCTCCCTGATCTTGCTGATGAGGAGCGTGCCCATCCCTGAACCGGTGCCTCCGCCCAGTGAGTGGGTCAGCTGGAAGCCCTGCAAGCAGTCGCAGCTCTCTGACTCCTTCCTTACCACATCCAGCACAGAATCCACCAGCTCTGCCCCCTCTGTGTAGTGGCCCTTGGCCCAGTTGTTTCCAGCACCACTCTGGCCTAAGGGGAGCAGCAAAGACACAGGTTGCACACAGAGAGAATTTTCTCTGTTACCTGCAAGTGGTACTGATACAGCATCTAACTGTTGGACTGATAAGCCACATCTAGAGCCAGGCCAATCCCATTAAGGTCTTTTAAATCTGGACTGCCAATAAGTATTTATTTATTTATTTATTAAAACATTTTTATGCCGCCCCATTCGCCGAAGCCTCAGGGCGGCTTACAACATAGATAAAACAATCAGTTAAAATATCCATATAAAATAATCTTAATTAAAACACACAAAGTAGATTATTTTGTCCATGCACGTCGCTCAACAATAGCAAGTGAAGACAAAACACTGGATCCTAGTCTAAGAGGAAGGTCCCTGCCTGAGTCAGATGGTCTGGTCTTGGTTGCCTGTCATACTTTTGACCATTTAAGGCCAGACTTGCAAGGCTCCCTGTAGCCTTGTCATGTTGTGCCTCAGTGGAGTGCAACTCCTCCTACCCTGTAGGTGGTCAGACATGGTCACAAGGGATGGGACTGATGTGGGAAGAGTAGTGAACTGTTCCTTGTCTTTGTGGAATGCAAATCACCACAGCAGAAGAAGGTGATCTGGTACCTTCCAGATGTTTTGCATAGCAACTCCTGTCATGTCCACCCATTTGCTCTGCTGTTTGTGGCTGATGGGAGTTGCAGTCCAAAGCATCTGGAGGGCACCAGGTTGCTTGCTGCTGGCCTGCGGCATAACTAGGAGTCTGGGTTTTAGCTCCTTTGTGTGGAAAGACCTGATGCATACCTTATTGAGAAAGAGGAGCATCAGTATTTCTACAGCTGCTGCCTTGAAATGTGACAAAAGTGTCACATAGACTGCAGGAACTGAAGCACTATTACTTACCAAAGACAAAGTTGTCCGGACGAAAGATCTGGCCAAAAGGTCCAGACCTGACTGAGTCCATTGTGCCAGGTTCCAGGTCAACAAGGATGGCACGAGGAACGTACTTGTTACCTGCAGGAAAGAAAAAGCCATAATCATGGACAAAGAGGCCCTATCAAGTATCTTCCCACTACAGCGTTATTGGGAGTCTCGGCAGTATTACAAGGACAGATTTAAGTAATGCTTGCTAGACAAAGCGTTTTTATGCTAACTCCAATACAGAACAAGCAGCACCTATGTAAGCAGATAACAGTTGGCAATGGTGATCAACATTGCTGCAACCTATTTGTCAGCAATATCAAACTACCCTGGGAAGCAGGTTTGCTGCACCAGTTTCAGAATATAGGCCTTACATCATGTTACACCCTCTACTATAACTTCACATGAAGTGGTATTTGCACAAGCACAAAAGCTAAAATAATGTAGCCCTTTTCCAGTCAGGACAGAGGGTTTCCCTTTTCAAGGACTCTTAGCCAAACCACTTCCAAAGCACCTGGGATGGTTTGGAAGTCCATTTGGCTCAGCCCAACACAGACTGATTTGCAGGGGTAAAAAGGCACAGAGCTTGATGTAACACTCCCCTATGAAAATCCCTACATGTGCAATATGGGCATGTCGAGTCATTGTCCCTTACATCTGGTTTCTTGTATGCTTGTAGTTTCTTTTTTATAAGCAAGTGTGCAAATCTCCACCTGCAATCTAAAGTTACGTAGTCTAGATAACATTTACCTCTTCAGTTAGCTCTTTAGAATATATCTAGGCCACCTTACCTAGCCTGATGACTTCCATTTACTTTGGACTTTGGATCCCACCAGCACAGCCAGTGGTCAGGAATGCTGGGAAATGTGGTCCAAAATACCTAGAGGAACCCAGGTTGAAGAAGCATGGTGTATGGACTCATTCATCCTGCTACCTGCACAATTTAATTGAGCAACTCACAGCTAAATGGGTGAACCTGCTTCCTCCCTTAGTGTGCCTCTGACGGGATGCAGTGGAACTTTTTCAGCCATTAGATCTGGTGCTCTCCAGATATTTTGGACTTCAGCCCCCATTGGCCCCAGACAGTTAAGGATTATATGGAGAGAGGCTGAGGCTTGTTTCCATGCAGAAGCCTCCTGTTCTGTCCTGGTATTTCCAGACAGGACTGGAAATATTCCTGCCTGGAACTCTGGGAATTGCAACCAGTCAGGTCTAGAACTGAGGATCTGACTCAGGATGGCAGCTTTCTATGGTCCTGTATACCTGTGGGGTACAAGGTAAAGCAGGGTAACATAGGACCTTGTTTGTCATACATCATCCCCCAGCATAGACTATGCTGGAAAGACATGGGAGTTGCAGTCCTCCACATGTTTTGCACTATAAGTTGCCCACCCTGGGATAGGGGAAGGCCAACTTCTTGCAGGGTGTTATGTCTGGTAGCTCATGTGACACGCTGGGAGCTGTCTAAAGCTAGAGTAGACGGTTTGCTTAGCCAAATATGGCCTACTCTGGGGAGCAGGTCTCTCCCATTACTCATTACTGAATCCTTTTAACTGGAAAGGCTAGGAGCTTGTTTGTGAAACGTGCTGTACTACCAGGTCTTGACCTTTTTCTGTAGCCTAGCCATCAAATCTTGGTGCGTGAATGTTATTGCTTGTCATCAGTAGACTAGGAACCAGTGCTGCAATAGCAAATCTTAGAAGTTGTATGACTTTCCCTAAGGAGCCATAGGGATGTGCATTCACAACGGAGTGGAGAATGTTTAGAATCACTAACTCTAATATAACATATTTTTCAGTTTCCTTGTGGTAAGCTATAGTACTTAAATACCATGACTTGGAGGTTTAACGTTTGGGTGGCAAAGACGGGCCACAGGCTGGGAACCCAGAGAAGACATAGGTTAAAGAAAACAGCCCACTGGTGTAAACGCTTCAAGGGACAATTGAGCTGCCACTGACCAGGGTGAATCCTCCTGATCACTAACACGCAGTGAGTGGTAAAAGAGACTTGGGTGGAGAGCACAAGCAGTCTGCCTGATGCATGTTCCAGAAGGCCTCCTATGTCTAAACCTTCAATGTGCTTCCCAAATTCCAAAAGGCCATCTTGGCTGTGCGTGATGTAGCCCATCCCATGTGCAGGACACAAGGTTGCAAAAGGGTGAACTAGTCACTGCAGACTAGCAGCTCGCCTAGTGTTAGAGCAATGCCACTTCTACTAGGCCACGTAAGAACAGTCTCTCCCATCAGGTATGCACATATTTGCAGCTCCATGTTTGACCAGAAAAATGGAATAAGGACAGGCACAAACACAATGAGCACAGGATCCAAGATAAGAAAAATGAAACCTTTACAAGGTTTTGTACTCTTTGCTTTAAGGTATAGAAATCCTGAATTGTGTCTAGAACTAACAATGCCTTTATTTCTCATTCAGATAACTAGGAGAAGACAATTTCAATGATATAGCCCTATTATTCCCCCTGTCCTGATGGTTGTGGGGAATTTTAATCTATTTAGGTACCCAGCAAAAGACAGTAGTAAAATACTAAGTTTAAATATTGAAATACGCCTCAAAATTCCATTACTTCCAATATTTGGCAAGATACTGTGCAGCTGGAATAATGAAGATTAACAAATTTAGTAACTGCTGTGAGATTAATCATAGCTAAGAACTGGAAAGTAAAATATGATTATCAATTGCATGATTGGTATAGAGAAGTTTGGAATATAGCTATTAATGATAAATTAACTTGTGATGGCAACGTGAGAAAAAGCCATATAAAGAAAAATAAGTTTTAAAAAATTTGGAGTGCATTGATTGAATATGTGTTTTTAAAAAGGGAAAGAATTTGAACCTTCCCAAGAATCATTACAATTTTGGAAGAGGAACATTTCCTGAAAGAATTTTTTAATACATTTTCAACATGTATCTTATGGTCCTGGTGATGGGGTACACAGTATTTTTATGATTTATTTTAGCTGTTTTTTAATGTTAAACATAACTATTTTAACTATAAGCGTTTTTTAGCTGCATTTTATATTGTAAAACTATTTTTTAAAGGTGCCCAACAAATGCTATCTGATTAGACAGGCTCTTTAAAGAGTATGAATGTTTTAATGCACATAATCAGAGAAAAGGGTGGACAGTCGCTACCACATAAACAAGACATCTTGGTTTTTTCCCACACATGGAAATGCTTTGATGGTGGAATAAGATAGGCAAGCTGCCTAGAGAGCCTTTGGGCTATGGGGTGAGATACAAATGTAATGAATGAATAAATACAAGTGAGCTTTTTGCAAAAGTCATTTTCCTGATCTGCATCTCTAATCAGGTAGTGTGGAGCCATACAATTAATAAATAGAATACATGCATTTTATATCAGTTATATGATTAATCAACTAAGTCTCTAATCCTACAATCCCTGAGATGATGTCCCAGGATCCACTGGAGGTTTAACTTCTCTCTTGGAGAGCAGAGACTGGTCCAATCTTAAGAGGAGAAGATCCAACCTGGCAACTGCACACCCAGCCACCAGCAAAGGCAGCAAGCTGTTCTGTGTGTGTGGCAGAGAATTATCTAGCGGACAAGCCCTTGGGCCTGAGGGGCAAGGGGAGACCGCTGGCTATGGTTCCTTTGCTTTCCAACCAACAGGAGGGAACCCATGAAAGAAAAGGCAGAGTCAGAGCCAGACAGTGCTGGTGAGTTTCGGGACTCGGCAGATCTGTGTTTGAGTCCCCACTCAGCCATGAAACTGACGAGGTGCGTTTGGGCCAGCCACTGCCTCTCTTGCCTTGCACGGCTGTTGCATGGGTCAGGATGAATAGGCCCACCACCATGTATGGGCTCCTGGCAAGAGGACTGAGCTGGGAATATAAATTTAATAATCGATACAGGAGGAAAGTGAAAAGCATCACTCCTGCCTCCTTTCTGCTCCTCCATCTTCTAATCTTGCACACGTGCCCACCCAGCCCAGCTTTCTCAGTCCCAGGGCAACAGCCTTCTGCTTGAGAAAGCCAGACCCAGGAAGGAAAAGCCCAGCGGTGCAGTTATTACCAGCCGCTTCATTGTAGTAGACGTTGATCCTCTCCAGCTGCAGATCGCTGTCTCCGTGGTAGCTGCCGGTAGGGTCGATGCCGTGCTCGTCGCTGATGACCTCCCAGAACTGGAACGGGATTGTCGAGAGCTGTTAGCAGCTGCCTCGGGTGCCAAGCGGGCTGACACCACGTGCGCTGCACTGCCACGCCTCAGCCGCAGTCAGTGGCCATGCCCAGCTCCCCACCCAGGGTCCAGCAGCCCATCAGCTCATCCTCCCCTGCAGCTCGCCCTCCCAAACAGGCACCGACAGGCACCACAGTACTGCCCGCGTGGCAGTGGCCAAATGGGGTGAGGGCACCCAAGAAACGGCTCATGAAATGAGGCAGAAAAGGCTGCGTAAATGGAGCGCTTTTGTTTTAACTGAAGAGGCCATCTGGCTTACGATATGCGCCCACATCCATGCCCAAACATCTTTCACTCCGCCCGCTCGGAATTCAGGTTAAATCCTCTGCAAAGGGGCGAGGCAACCCCAAGCCTGCCATTATAACCGGATCGCTCTGCTAGGCGAGAAGGGAGTGACCGAAAAGACAGGGAGAAAATCAGACCACTGAGATCTGGCTGCTAAAAAGATTCACGCGCTGCGCAACGTGGAGAGGAGAGGCCCTTGCTTTTTCTTAGGAGATGCGGCTGAACCATGAGGCTGCGGGGATGGATCGCGGGGGGGGGGGGGCGCGGCAGGTGCATCCAAGGATTTGCAAAAGAAATAGGTCATCGGAATAGAAGCTATTCAATTAAACTGGAGAGTGGATATTTCCACACTTCACGTTACCGCAGCGCTGCTCCACGGAGTCCTTTGGCAGCGTCACGGTCCTCGCCATCTTTCGCCCCGCGCCCAGCCAGGGAAGCGGCGAAGACGCGACCGGTTCCCACTCGTAGCGCTTACAACAATAGATGCATCCCACCAGCCCCTTCCTCCCCCGTTCTCCTTCTCACCCCGGCCCCCCTGCGATACCTTGGCTCCGATCTGGTTCCCGCACTGGCCGGCTTGGATGTGCACGATCTCACGCATGGCTGCGGCTACTGTGACTTTGCTCCGGTGCCCACCCACAGATTGCTTCCCGCACGGCCGCAAGGACTTCCCTCAGCCAGCAGCTGAAAACTGGGCGCGTCTCTCGCCCGGGTCGCTTATATCGGGAAGCGCGTGGCTCCGCCCCTTCCCTTCACACGGCCAGAGACATCGGTGCGGACCGCCGGGCCTAGCCGGGGCGGAGTTGCCGGCGCGCTCGGAGTGTATTGTCTCTGCTACGGGGAGAAGGGGGAAGGCGGCCTTTTTGCTTGCTTCCTCGCCAAGCGCCCCGGAGAAAGTGGGCGTGGGCGCCGGACCGAGGACTCGGCTGGCCGCACCCGCCGGAAGGTCGTGCATGAGGGGACGGTCCTAGACCCGAGCCTAATTTTGAAGACGGGACACCTGCAGCGCCCCTCGGCATCTTTCTGTCGGGTCTGCCTACGGCAAAGACCATTTTGACGCACTCTTCTCTTGGGGCGCTAAAGCTGCAGGAATGATACAAAGAGTGCCCCATGCGCAGTAAGGGTGGGGGGGGGGGCGCAGCACGGTGCCCAGGTCGCCTCGCTTTGCCAGTGCTACCGTGCTTGGGCTCCCACTGAGGGCCTTTCCCCTGCTAGGTTTTCACAGATGCCTAGCCGCTGCCGATACGGCTGAAGAATTGGGCAGTCGCATCAACCTCTCTATCAAGAATGACTCCCCACGCCCAGAATGTAAAGGGCTGCAGAGGCGCGCAAAACCTCAGGTCTGGAAGCCTCAGCAGTTTTCCCAAATAATCACGACCACAATCAAACCACCGACTGTTTAGTGGCTTCCCAGTTTTTCCTGCAGATTTTTCTGCAAGTTCCCCCGCTGAGGCTTAGCTATTGGCATGGCAAGAGTTCAAAGTAAAGGATGCTGGAGTTCATGGTCCTTTGTCCCCACTCACCATTAGATCACCCTCCTCACTTCCTGAAATTGAATTTAGTCTCTGAAGCAGAAGGCTACAACAGGGTCTGTGGTACTGTTCAATGGCAGGGCGAAGCTTTCCTATGCAGAAGGACTTGGGCTTGATTAACAGGCCTGCGCATCTCCAACAAACCTGCTTTCAGAAAGCTGTAACAGTCCTGAGAAGGACTTCCCTCTTCTCACTGCAGCACAGAAAAACTGCCAGTGCATCACAGGATTAATGGCCTTCCTGGCTACACATGAGATATGAATAGCATGTTTTCTAGAAACATGTTAGAATGGTACTGGTATTTTTAAATCAAAAGCAAAATGTGCAAAATTGTCTAAGAGTTCCTGTGTAAGAATGGCTCTGAAAGTGCTTACTGTTTTGAAGAGGTCAGGGATGGCTATTATTTCTGTTCTGAATTTCATGTTGTGGTCTGAACCAACTGCCTCTTTCCTCCTTTCTCATGGTGGGTCCTTTACAGGTCAGTCCTAAACGCACACAAAAGAATCTCATGGCACCTGAAGGGCTCATTGTGCCATAAACGTTCATGAGCTGACTTCATCTGATGCATCACATCTTGTTCTCAGCAGGTGTGCCTGAACATGTATGCACATGTGGCTACAGAGCACATACAGGAAAGAGGAGAACCTTGAAACATACAATCTGCAACTTTTCTATCTCATATTTAGAGGTGGGGATAGAAAAGTATCTATTTTTCTATAGATCCATCCCCTACAAGATGAGAACACTGACTAATGAGAACACTAACATAGAAACTGCCAATAATACATACAGTCTTCCTAGTTTTGATATGTTAATTTATGGGAGAGAAAACATTTGTCTCTACTGAGTCCTCAATGTATGGAATCAAAACTTGTTGTTCGATATGAATTCAGTCTTTGCATGCTGGGACCTCCATTTGAAGTGATTTTCTTGAAAAAATGTGATTTTTTTTTCCAGATCAGCACAAGAAAAATGTCTTAGAAAACTGAAATATACTCTCAGTGCTTTGTTAAAGTTATTGTTTCTAAAGTCAGAGTGGTATCATAAACAGTTCTGTCTAAAGACCAGCAAATGGCATTGCCTGGCAGATGCCAGGACCCTGGGCTGCCCGCAAGCAGTACACCTCACCACTTTAATTGGATTGTCCCTCCTTCCAGCATGCATGCAGTGGGGCTGACAATCATTAACTCAGTGAGGCCAGCAGGTAGAGGTGTATGCAGTTTATTCTTCTAGACTTTTGGAAGGAATAAATGCACCTCTGTGGCTGTTCAGATTCAGTGCCATGTTTGAATATATTCTTATGTTCTGTTCCAACTCGTCTCCCTTGTCTGTTATAAACTTAAAGGGAGAGGTTCTAGCTCAGTGGGAAAGCATGTACTGAGTATGCAGTAGGGCCCCGGTTTAGTTCCCAATTCACCAGGTATGGCTGGAAGAATTCTTGTCTGAAACCCTGGAGGGATGCTGCCAGTCAGAGTCAATAGCACTGAGCTGCAGTGTATACAGTAACTTCCTGTCTCCCTTATCATCCACCATGCTAAATGGAATGATGCTTGGACAGATTAAGGAGGGATACTTGAGGGGCTCTGTGTTGGAGCACAGTGGCATGATTTGACTTCTCATGCCTAATACTCTCCCTGTACTACATTTTCAAATTCCATTACATTTATACTCAGTTGTTCCATTGCCTTCCTCCTAAACCGTTCTGAAAAGGGGAAAGGAAGGAAAGGGGAACAGATGAAATTGCATTGGAATGGTCTTCTTCTTTCCATCTGTTCCTAAGAAACTCATTTCAGGATCCTTTCAACCCATATACACATATATTTATTATATTTATATCCCACTTTTTTTCTTTCCAAGTAACTCATTTGCCTCCTGCTGCTCTCAATCTTATCCTCACAACAACCCTGTAAGGTAAGTTTGGGTGAGAGTGGCCCAAAGTCACCCAGTGAACTCCATAACTGAAAGGGGACTGGAATGTATGCACACTTAAGCACTCCACCACACTACACTGGCACAATAACTCTGTGAGGTCAGTTATGCTACAAGAGAGTGCCTGGCCACAGTCACAGTCAGACTTTCATGACTGCATGAAGATTCCCAGTCTTAGGGTCATACTTCAACTGCTACACCATGCTGCCTTTGTTACTTATTTTTTAAACCTCGGTGGCATACTCAAGCAATATGAGTGCCTTGCACTGGTGAATGCAATGTCTAGTAGCTGGATATAGCCGTGTGCCAGAACAAGGAGGCTTACACGGAACCCTAACCCACTCTGACAGTGCTTAAAAATGAAACGATGCACAGGCATAATAGTGCTGAAGGCCTGATTGCATAAGAGAGCATCTGCCTTAACCTGGTTTTGAGGACACCCCAGCATTCCACATGTTCCAGCATATGGCTGGCTTGAACAGCAGGAAAACCGTAAATCTGGAAAATAGAATTACTCAAAATTGCAGTGAGGTGTACATAGCACACAAAGGGCAGTGAGATGCTTGTGTTTTATTAGACAAGGGAAAACAGAGTGGCACCCAGCACCAAGGAGAGGCATAAAAAATACAAGCGGACCTCCAGTCCCTTGAGCAAAGGGATTGTTGGGTGATCTCCCCAAGGAGCATTTGCATCCTGGCAATTTCAGCAAACATAAAGCCTAACAAATCATTAAAGCCTACCAGCTCATTAACAGGAACACTAAACAAGCACTAAAACAGTTTGTCATTTAACTGGACTGCATGGCCGAAACATTCCACCATATAAATAAGTGCTGTGTGTGGTGTTTCACAGAAAGCCAGTTCAACTGCTTGTAATGAATAAATTTAGCAACTTTAGATAAACAGGTCAAGTACAGGGATGTTAAACATTCTTAGTTATTCCTACATGGGAGAAAATTCCATCTGGATCTCCAAGATGGCTATCGGCCATACTCAGGAAACATTTTGCACTTGACAATAAGGCTGCCTTACAACGCCTTTCAATGCACAGAGGGGAGGGAGGCAGCAATAAATCCGAAGTCATTAGTCCTTTGCTGAAGGGACCAGGGCATCTTTCCTAGTATCGATGTGTGAGCATCTTGCGTTCTCAGACCACAGCACTTGCGTTTAGGATGCTGCCTGCCTTTGGCTCTTTGTGTACTTTGGCAGCTGATCAGGTTTAGAGGTTTCTATCAGAATCCCTGGTCTTAACTATTTCAGACATAGGGCTGTACTTTTTTATGTGGAGGAACCAGCCCCATCATTAGGCAAAAATGACCCAGTTGCTCAGGTAGCACTTCATGGGAATAGAAACAAGGCCTCAGTGCCCCTTGCCCCTCACTGATCCTGCCGGGGTGGTGATCCAGGTTGTGGCTGCTCTCTGTACCCCTGTGCCAAATGCTTTGGCCAGCTGGATAAGACAAGCAGAAGCTGCAGCAGGGCTGTGATTTGCCAAGGGAGTTCAGGATCTCACATATCCTATGCACAGATGCAGTGGAAAGCTTCTGTTCCATGTGCCTTCCTTTACCATGTTTGCCTGTCTGAGCTCTCCTTGTTTCCCTCCCCCTTCTGTTTATTTACCTCTTTATTCTTCTCCCTGTTTCTTGCTTCTGTTTTTCCCTCTTTCCTTTTCCTTTTGCTTCCCCCGCCCCGCCCCTTGTTTTCTCCCCCTGCTCTCTGCTTTTCCTCACCCACCTCCCCCTCTCTTGGTGTTTCTGGCTTCTCTTTTCATTTTACCCAGTGAATGGCATACAGATGATGATTGACCCTTTTCATCTGAACCAACAGTTTGGCTCTGACTCCATTCCCCAGCCACTGATTTGACCTGGTTGTAGTTAGCAGACTTCAGAGTACTTGTTTATAAAACTGTAGATCCCACAAATTGCCCACCTCTGATTCAGATCACATAACAATTGTACCAGCTGGGGCTCAGTTCAAAGTGCTAGATAGGATCTTTAAAGTACCAAGTAGTTTTGGGGCCAACTCCCTAAAAGCAACAGCTACTACTACTACTACTGTATGAATCTGCCATGCCTAGGATTTCCAAGAGGCCCTGAATCATGTCCCAACACTACCTGGGTGTCAGTGTGAGAAATGAAATGCTACTGTTACTAAGTGTTAAGGTGAAATACAGGAATAGGGCAGGATCATTGAAGTCCCTTAAGGACAAAAAGCCTGAGAATCAAAACATGTAAACAGTTGTACTAATAATGTCTCTTACTTCAAAGTCCTGAAAAATGCCAGGAGGGGTAAAATTGGGGGACATTGGTAAAACTGTCACCTTCAGTGGAGGAAAGGAGTCAGTGGATTACTTTACAACTGGTGATAATGAGCCTGGAGAAAGGCCTGTTCTCATTATCTCATCCTCCCCATTTTTGATTTAAGGAGCAAATTGGCATCCAAGAAGACTTCTCAAGGCCATTTTGACTGTTTGAACCCTTAGGCCTACTGTGCACGCGTAATAGGTTCATAAATAGTAAATGACACACCTCTCATAGGTATTAGGCTTATTGGCATGAGCATGGGTTGTATGTGCAAGGGGGGGTTCATATCAAGGGGTCGTATGATGTAGGCAGATGGAGGAGACTGTGCCCTCTGAGTAGCCCAGCCAATGGGGGAAAAGGGGTAGGGCCTGCAAGCCGGGGAAAGGGATAAAAGTGAATGTTGTATGTGTGAATGGCATGCTACCTGTGTGGTGGGCGCCCGCTCTTGCAAGAATGAATTAAACTTTTCTGCTTGGTACTTTATCTCCCGTATCATCATTGCTTGGATTCTATTGGATATATTTTTCTATATCTTACATCAGTGTGTGGGAATGCAAACTGACAGAGCCCCAACTATGGAAATCTGTACCCTGGAAGATCTGACAATAGCATTTTCTTTCCCCTCTTCAAAGACAGGACAACAAAATACTATTCAGATGTGCGTGTGGCCCAAGCAATTCCTGCATTCTCTTTGTAACTGCTGCTGCTAAGTCAACCTTGCTGCTACTATCTTGATTTTTCTTTTTAAAAAAGAAGGGCTTGGTTTTCCAGAGATGTTCTATATTTGTTGACTTGTACAAAACTTTAGCCTTTCCCACATAAATTAGCTTTTCTATCTTGGTCGCTTCTGGAATCTTGTTGTTTAGACCCTCTTACTAAATGACAACACTGGGCTTTCACAGACAGAGTCCCTCCCACAGTTAAGGGTGGTGGACAATATCATCTCAATTACATTTTGATCCCTTTTCTCATGCTCTGTTGAGTCTATGGAAAAACCCTGACTTAAAAATCGCTAAGAAAGTGTTTTTGCAGCAGGCTTGGACAGATAACCCAATGTTTACTTTAGATGAACTGTTGAGGAAGAATTCTTGTGATTTTTGAACCTGCATGCTGAATAAGCTTTGTCTGCCGTAGCTGAATAATACTGCCAATGCAACTCTTAATGGAATCTAGGTTTGGTCCCGCTACTCTTAGCGATTCACCACCTCCTCTGTTGTTGGAAACATTTATTAAGGCTGGTCAATTACAGTGACCTATAATGCATGTTTATAAATACCTAGTACAGGCGAATAAGTATGACATGCAAGGTCTCAAGCAGAAATGGGAATGTCCTGCTTTCCTTAATCAATGGATTGTTGCTGTAGAGTCTCTATTGTAATGTTCAATGGATCTTATGTAATATCTGATCCAACAAAAACTCTTGTTTTATATTTATTGGACCCCACAACCTCTCCTTAAGGGCCTGTATAAGTTGGCATTCTGCTATCACCCTCCTTCAAACATGGAACTGTGCATGCATGTGTGTGTCCAAGCATCCTCTTGCATTTACAATGCTCCCATATTTCCTCACCACTTCATTTTTTTTTTATCTGAAAATATCCATCAAAGCAAATCAACCAACCAGAATGCCATTTTTTCCCCAGATCCACAGAACAGCCTGGTCAGAAGGGGCCTGGAAGGCCACCAAGTCCAACGCCTTTGATTTGTAGTGCTAAGTATCCTCCATCTGGAAGCAGTCCGAGATGCAACGATCAGAAAATATTGTGTGTGGGTGTCTGCAATGGAAAATCTACAGGATTTGGCTTTGCAGATATCTTGATTTAGCAGGTGGTCACTGAGTGGAGCAGAGGTGCAACTCCAAAGCCTCATGCTACAAATATTGGCCATTCCCAGCATGCAAGCATGGAAGCTGTCTCTCAAATATTTGCCACATACAAGATGTAGCACAAGTCATGTTAAATGTGCATTGGGCATCTTTTTCTGTTGTAGGAACAAAAATCATGCAAGAAAACCCAGTATTAATTTTTTAATACTGAATGTATCATATTTAGTTCCCTGCAAAGCTTAGAAGAAAACATTAAGTATTTTCCAATATGGATGCAATGAGGGGGCCAAACAAACTTCACTGTGCAGGGTATTTTTTACTGTATTTTTAAGCAATTTAAAATTCATTTTAACACAGTTTTTATAGTACATGTACTGTATTTTGTTTTGTTTTACACATTGTAAACCATCCAGAGAGTTTTGGCAATGGGACAGTATAGGAATGAAATTAAGAATAATGATGGTGGTAATGACTGACTTTGTTCTCTCTCTTTACCATCAGTTGAACTGACTGCTGACATTCAGTGCTATGGACTGCAAGTACAAGATGAGCTGAGTGTGCTGCTCACTTGACACCGTCTCCACAGAGACGCACTTATTGGAGTTGTGGTGGGAGGAACCCAATTCTATTATGGATACACTGGATTAAAATACATGATAAGGAAACCATGAGGGCCCAGCTTCTGTCCCCCACATCTCATTTTTTAAAATGTTTTTCCCATGTCCAGTTATCTCCACACATGCGCTACATGAATGTGAGTCACTGGATGTGGTTCGACGCTAGGAACAAATGTCTGGCAAGAGGATTCTACTGAGCCACTTCCAAGCAGCATGGACAAGATGAAGTGAATTATTCATACTATGTTTAGATACATTAACATTAAATACACTCTATTCCAGAGGACTGAAAGTATTTGGAACCACTACAGATAGAACCAAATACAAGGGTCCAGTTTATTTACCCTCATTTTAATAGACCTTTTTTTCATCCTTTACTAGCTTCAGCTTACATATTCCCTCTCAAGTTGAGAATATTGTATCTGGCTTCATCTTCTGCAAAATAGACACACTTGAATAGACTTTCGTCCCTACACCCAGAAAGAGGCCTTATGTCTTCCAGGGCCAACCTACATACTCTCTACCATAAATATTAAAGATACCCACTCCAACTCCAAATATTTCATCTTTCCTCATATGGTTAGAAGGGATAAGTAATAGTTTACTGCTTCATAACGAGAAACCCCAAAACACACCCATACCCAAAACTGTTTTTGGGAAGGTGAGCTGCTAAAAGAGCAGAAAAGGTAAGTATATCGCAACAAAATATACACTCGGCCAATCCCAGGATTTCAAAGTGTGTAAAAAACTGGACAGAGCCTCAGCCTTACCTCTGCTGAGTGTCATCTTCAGCTTTCCCATAATAAAGTTTAAGCAGCAGGCCCAATCTTGTCTTTCTGCAATTATGCTCATCATCCACCCCACCCCTTAGCCAATACATTTTTGGCTGAGGTTTTGGCTCCTCTCTTTGAAAGCAAGTATGAGTATGCTAATTTACTCATCAAGATTGCTTTTAAAAAACTGGAAGAGAAACCTATTCTTTAGTGTAGTGAACATGAAATCAAGAGAGCAGCTTAGGTTGAGTATCAATGGACTATTTGGATGCCACTGTTGTTCTCAAGGGCCAGTGTGGTGTAGTGGTTAAGAGCACAGGACTGGGGCTCAGGCGATGTGGGTGCTTGTCCCCGCTCAGCCATGGAGCCAGCTGGGTGACTTTGGGCCAGTCACAGACTCACCTTAGCCTACTTCACAGGGTTGCTGTTGTGGGAATAAGATTTAGAGTGGGAGGCAGCAAATGATGTAAGCCACTTTGAGTTCTTTAAAAGAAAAAAAAGGTGGGGTATGCATCTAACAAACAATTTAATTACATAAAGTAGGAAGAGTAACCACTCATTTTCCATGGACTAATTGCTATTCAAGAGAAGACAGTCCCGCCTTGTAGAGATGACAATTTTTCACCCATATTATTAATCTTTAAGACAATAGAGATTTCAAAGTCATCTTCCTTGATGAAACATTGTTTTTCCTGTAACATTAATGGATCTATTCTTCTCAAAGCTTTCTGGATGAATATCTTACCATATGATAAAAATAACCACTAAGGCCATAATCATGAATGTTGAAATGTTACTACTAAAGGAGAGCTCAAATAAAACCTACTGTATTATCAAGCAAACACCTGCTAATTGGAACTCTGTCATCATTCGTTTTCAACCACTATTGTTATTTAAGGGGGATAAGTATGTTGAATTGCAAGTTATTTTTAAATGAGTTAATATGTTGTTTACTGACTGATCACATTTCAGATGCTAAAGAAACTTCATATTCCAAAGTATCCCTTGTTACTATTCCTTCAGTTAGTTGCAAAGACGTATGGGAGAAGAAAAGAATCCAGACACCACAGTGAATCACAAATGCCTTTTATGTTTGAGATCAGACATTTAACAGAAGACTTCTAAAGAAGTCTTTTGCAACTACTGTTACATAAAGAGTGAAGTAACAAAACTGCTGACAGAGGCAACAGTAAAAAGCACCAAGTTTAACTGAAAAAGCATGCATCAGGACGGCCAAACAGACCTCACCCCAGGACTTGCCTCACTGTGCTAACCGCTCCCTAAGCCCTACGCCTCGTCCTCCTCGCCTTCCTCCTCGAACTCCCCCTGCTCATCAGCCGTGGCATCTTGGTACTGCTGGTATTCGGACACCAGGTCGTTCATGTTGCTCTCGGCCTCCGTGAACTCCATCTCGTCCATGCCCTCGCCGGTGTACCAGTGCAAGAAGGCCTTGCGCCGGAACATGGCCGTGAACTGCTCGGAGATGCGCTTGAAGAGCTCCTGGATGGCGGTGCTGTTGCCAATGAAGGTGGCAGACATTTTGAGGCCTCGCGGGGGAATGTCGCACACGGCCGTCTTGACGTTGTTGGGGATCCACTCGACAAAGTAGCTGCTGTTCTTGTTCTGCACATTCAGCATCTGCTCGTCCACCTCCTTCATGGACATCCTGCCCCGGAAGATGGCCGCCACCGTCAGGTAGCGCCCGTGGCGTGGATCGCAGGCCGCCATCATGTTTTTCGAATCGAACATCTGCTGGGTCAGCTCCGGCACCGTCAGGGCGCGGTACTGCTGGCTGCCGCGGCTGGTCAGCGGAGCAAAGCCGGGCATGAAGAAGTGCAGGCGGGGGAAAGGCACCATGTTGACCGCCAGCTTGCGAAGGTCGGCGTTCAGCTGCCCCGGGAACCGGAGACAGGTGGTCACTCCGCTCATGGTGGCAGAGACCAAGTGGTTGAGGTCCCCGTAGGTGGGCGTTGTGAGTTTCAGAGTGCGGAAGCAGATGTCGTACAGAGCCTCATTGTCAATACAGTAGGTTTCATCCGTGTTCTCCACCAGTTGGTGGACGGAGAGGGTGGCATTGTATGGCTCCACCACTGTGTCCGAGACCTTAGGAGAGGGCATGACGCTGAACGTGTTCATGATCCTGTCAGGATACTCCTCCCTGATCTTGCTGATGAGGAGCGTGCCCATCCCTGAACCGGTGCCTCCGCCCAGTGAGTGGGTCAGCTGGAAGCCCTGCAAGCAGTCGCAGCTCTCTGACTCCTTCCTTACCACATCTAGCACAGAATCCACCAGCTCTGCCCCCTCTGTGTAGTGGCCCTTGGCCCAGTTGTTTCCAGCACCACTCTGGCCTAAGGGGAGCAGCAAAAAAAGACAAGGAAGAAGCTGAAGTTATAACAGTGTACACAATGAAGCTGACTTTGGTAGATGTACCAGCATGGACAACAGGCCAATGCTTAGAAGGGCTGGGCAATTTGTACCCCTCTGGATGTTTTGACATTCAACTCCCATTGTCCCTCCTCATTGGCCACCTGTAGGTAAAAACTTCTGAAAAGTCACAGATTTCTCATGCCTAAGGTAAACCCTGGATTACTAGAACCATCCTCAGCAAAGGTTGTGTGACTCTGACTCAAACACTACATGTAGCATCCCCTTGGAAAACACGGCACCATTGACTTCTTGGACAAGCACAGTATGTTGCACATACAGCAAGGACTGGAACTTTGCTTTCCTTCCATATGTGCTCTAAATATTTATTTGAATGTAAAGGAACTACTGCATACTAGTCCATGCCACTATTAAAGATGTCCACAGGATATGGACATCAGGGAAGTGCCCTCAGTCTAGCACAGAGGTGTGCTGTCCATCCTGTAACCTTCATATCTAATGCCATTCTCTTGGCATTTTCGCAAATTACACAGGCAGTAGGAGATCAAACAAATGCCATTCTGGTCTCTCTGTGTTTCTAGTATAACATGCCCAGGAGAGAAAAGAGCAGCATCTCTCCTTTGGCAATTACATAAGTACCACATGCAGGACCAGTCACTGGGCCAAAGATACAAGAATTTTGTCTTTATTATTCTGAAAGTATAACTTTTGTCTCTTCATTACATGCAAAACAATGGATGTACACACCTAAGTCCTACAGTGAAAAGTCATATCAGCAGAAACCTTATCTGAGAGCCAGTAATGCAAAGGTGACCATAGCATTCCTATTTCACTAAGTTAAGAGCAGGCAAGAAAAGCAGCAACAGAAACTGGAAGTGAACAGATCAGAATAACTAGGCAATAATGTTGCATTCCAATTGACAGTAGCTAAGTAACTTAAATGAGAAATGTCACAAAAGAATGAGCAATCCTGCTATCCTTGAACAAGACCAGTATCCTCATGAAGTCTAGGTCATAAGGAGCAAGAAAATGTTTATCAGATCCACCAAAGCACATAATAATGCTTCTTTCTGAATACTATTCTGAACAGAGAAATTTAATTCTGATTATGATCATATTGTCCAACTCAGAAGATGTCTGACAGGGGATTTCCTAAATAGTGAATACTAATAGTGAATTCATCCTCCAAATACTAATACTTACGTAGCCCAAAGCAGCACCACTCACATACAACAAGGAGGTATCATCAGACTTGGCAAATAGGGAAGAAGAAAAGCTTTAGGAAGAAAACAAACCCTCAAAGTAGGCCAATGAAAGCTGAGCATACTCAGTGGCCACACAGTTCCTGCTGACTGTGCGAGGAGGGAAGAGGGAAATGGAAAAGAGTAGCCTGGAATTGGGTATGGCTGGCTGGGCGGCCCACTGAATTAGAGGACTCCAAACTGCAACATTTTGTTGCAGGCACCTCTTTGCCAAGTATTCATTCTGTTCATCAAGCTAGTGAACATCTTTTGTGTTTAAGGGCACTTCAGGTTGCCATCAGCCCAGGAATGCAACCTATGTAAGCTTTGATGTTTGGTTTCTCTAGCCTAAGATAACTGCTCTACCACAATGGCTGTTTTCTTCATGAAAGACATATCCATTTGCCAGCTCTGGCAAATGACTAAGCACATGTGTGTTGCTTGGGTAGCCCATTTTTAAACAGTCATGCCGAAACACATACCAAAGACAAAGTTGTCCGGACGAAAGATCTGGCCAAAAGGTCCAGACCTGACTGAGTCCATTGTGCCAGGTTCCAGGTCAACAAGGATGGCACGAGGAACGTACTTGTTACCTGCAGGAGAAACAACAGCCAGAATCGCAGAACTGCTGTCAGCTGATTCTCATTCTCTCCCTCCCTCCCTCCCTCCCTCCCTCCCTCCCTCCCTCCCTCTCTCTCTCACACACACACACACACACACACACACACACACACACAGAGCAGCTCCCATGTACTCGGCAGCCTCATTACTATTCACTGGAGAAACAAAGCAGCTGCCCAGACTGATAAAAAGGGGAGGCACAGTTTTAAAGAAGAGTGTCTAATGAAACAAGGGCTTGAATTTTAAGCAGACATCAACACTTTGCCAATGATTTATTTAAACAGGGGCTGCTTTGTCAGTGTTTCATCACCACCCCGCCCTGCTCTCTGTTCATGCACAGTCTATTTTGCAGAATATATTATTGACTTCTTCTTCAAGGTTACCAGTTGCTTCATTGTAGTAGACGTTGATCCTCTCCAGCTGCAGATCGCTGTCTCCGTGGTAGCTGCCGGTGGGGTCGATGCCGTGCTCGTCGCTGATGACCTCCCAGAACTGGAACGGGATTGTCGAGAGCTGTTAGCAGCTGCCTTCGATGTGCCAAGGCTGACCAAACATGTGCCGCTGCTGCCAGCATGCCTGGCAAAAACCCCTCAGTGAGGGGCACCAGCTTCCCAGCAAAAGCCTGTCTGCCTCTTTCTAATGGACAGATCAAGGCAGATCCACTGAACAGTCCCGGAAAGCGAGATGGTTCCTCCCATGAGAGCAAATGCAGGCACAAAGGAACGGCGCCACTACAGTCCAACACAGAAGATATAGGCATACTCCGCATGCAACTGCCTGCTCTTTAAAAACTCCATCCACGCATTTCTTTGATCAGTACGCCCCCCCCCCCCCGCTATCCACAATGGCACTTAAGGCACCTTTATAATGCTAAATGTATTTATTCTCGATACTTGCATGGGGGCAGACAGGAAAGAGTTCCTCAATATTATCTTGCTGTACGTTGGACAAAAGGGCAATGCAAGAATATTCTAAATAAAGCAGCAGCTTAATTCATGGATACTAATATTCCTGCCCCTCATCTATAGTAGTTGGTCTTCAGAGGTATGTAATTTTAGCAATGAAATTCAAAGAGAAGCCCTTGCTACAGCCTGCTGTGTGCGCGGGGGGGGGGGGGAGAAGGCGGCTACAGCTGTTACACCCAGCGCATATTCACACCCCACATACTCCACGTTAGCAGCCTGGGGCGAGCTACCCCCCTGGTCCTAAATCCTCAAATATTAAATAGGGCCAGAAGCACCCCTCTGTGCCGCTGCTCTTGGGGGGAGAAGTCCATTGCGCCTGTCCCCGGATTGATGGCCGGATGCCGAGGAAGCCCCCACACCCTGCCTCGGTTACGTCCCCTGTCTGCGGGCTGCTTCTGAACCGGCTTTCGGCTGCTCGCGGTGGGTGGGGCCGGGCGCTCTTCGCATACTGAAGAGCTGCCTGCGGTGCGCAAGGACCTGCGCGCACGCCGCCTCCGTCCTCTCGAGCAGCCGGTGCGCGGCAGCTGCCCCGTCGCATCTCACCACGTCGGGTGGCCGTCTAGGTTGAGCCTGCCCTCCTCCTCGCGCGCCCCGCCACACCTCCCCAACGGGGAACACAAAAACCAGCATCCGCAGCCTGGACTCCACCCGAGTAAAGCGGTGAGAGGGTCCGTTTAATTGACTGTAGAGGAAGTGTGACAATCTAGACGAGAAAAGCTTTGGGAAATTAACCGGGAAGAAAAGGGAAAAAAATGGGGGCGTGTTCGGTGCCAGCCCGTTTGCAAATGTTCGATTCGGAGCGGGTGTCCATTAGGAGTAATGCAACTCACCGGAAGCTGTCTCCGTGCTGGTGCATGGAAGGGCGTGGCTGAGCTAGCCTTACTTTGTCCAAGTAAAATCCCAGCTCTTCACCCCACCCCCAAAAATTCGCCTTCTGAGAAGGGGGCTTTGTGGCTGCCTCTCCGATGAAGCACGCAAGGCATCCTCAACCAGCGCGCAGAAGGTGCGCTGCGAGAGGAGACGCCCGACCCCGTGCCGCCCCGCTTCGGCGGAGCTTGCGCCGCAGCCGGAGCCTCCAACCTGGAAAACGTGCTCGCGCCCCCCCCCCGCGAAAGCAGTCGAGTGACAAAGGAGCTGCGTGCAGCGACGGTGCTGCGTGCATCCCTTCGGACGGGCGAGGCTGCCGCGCAGCTGGGGCCGATTTGGGGGCGGAAACCAGCGCGGGCTTCCACATGGATTTCCCCGCTGGCTTCCCCACATTTCCACCTGGGAGCGCTCGAGAGACCGCAGGGCGACGACCGCCGCCCCTGCGCAACGCCGGCAACAATAGGGGCGCCCCTCGCCAGGTTCGCGCCCCCACCGGGTACCTTAGCTCCGATTTGGTTCCCGCATTGGCCGGCTTGGATGTGCACGATCTCACGCATGGCTGCGGCTCGGCTCCGCGCAGGCACCCCCTCTCTGGCCCTTCTCCCTCCGACCTGGCCCCGGCTGCTCCTGCCACCGGCAACTGGCTACGGAGGGCGCGATCGAGGGCTCTGCCTTTTATGTGGGGAAGCGCAAGCACCGCCTTCTGCCGCCCAAGCACCGCCCCTTCCACGCAGGCCCCGCCCCGTCTCCTCAGGTGATGTAATGTGGAGGGAGGGGCTGCGCAGGGCGCGCGCGCGTCCCCTTCCCTTCAGCGAAGCGGGACCTCAAGAGGGCGGAAGGTCAGGAGAGCGGCCCGCAGGGTGAAAGGCCTGTGCGGGGAGGCGCCCCGCGTCCCCTCCCCCTCAGTGCCAGCTGGCCTGCCATGGAGGGCTCGCAGAACGCCGGTCAGAGGGGCACCTTTCCCACGGGCATTCCTGGCACTCGGCTATCGAGCAGCAGCTTTTCCCATTCACTGGCAAATGCACAATTAGGGGGCCGTGGGAAAAAATAGTACAAGTCCGCCCTAGTGCCAACAGGGCAGAGCGGTGATGCCCCCTTTTCCACGGTCAGAAGTGTCCTCAGCCACACCCACGTTAGAAGAGGGAGAAGCATCCCTTTACAGGTTCCCCATACCCATCGCGACCCACAATGAGGACTAGAATCTTTCAATGCACGAATGAAACTAACATCCCCTTGCCGTGCCTCCAGGGGCCAGCTTGGAGGACAAGTCGGGGACGCTCCGTTCGCTCGAGTACAAAGCCTCTGTCTCCGACCCGCGTTGCTTTTGTCTTCGCTTTCTGGCCCCGCCGAGATGCGGCCCGAAGCGGCTTGGTGCTCGCCGGCTGAGCGGAAGAGGCGAGCAGGAGCGGGACGGGCGGGAGTGGGCACTGTCTCCGTCTCCCTGCTGCGACTGCCCCGGCAGGGATCTGCCCTCAGCCCCGCGTCTTTCTTCCGGGGGATGCAGCGCGCTTTGTTCCCGGCTCTCACGAGGGGGGAAGGAGGGCATGCCTGGGCCGAGGCGGGGGAAGGCGGCCGCCGCGCCGGGGTCGCCCATCCGTCAACACCAGCGCCTGCTGCATCCAGCCGCGCCCGCGCCCCCCCGCCCCGCAACCCTTTTGTTCCCGAAGAGGAGCCCCGCCCCCTTTCGGCAGCAAGCGCGGCGCGGCGGCCGCTTGCTCACTGCGGGTCCGCTCCGTTTCTTGCCTCCGCTGCCCCCCTTCCCGTGCCTGCTCGCGAGGCACCGCCGGATCGAGTCCCCTGCTTGCCTCCGTCCCCATTGATGCAGCCCGGGCGCCCCTCGGAGCGGCTCGCGCCCCGCCGGTGGAATTGCCAGCGGCACTTCAGGATCACGGCTGACATGAGCCTCGGAGCATCAAGCTCTTGACCGAGGACAGGGCATTTCTCTCTCCTCCTCGGTGACTTCGCCAGTTCTTGGGGTGCTTGGAGGAGACGAAGGAGGCGACAAAGGCAGAAGCGATGAAACGGCTGACTCGGTCAGAACTAGAGGCCAGGATCCTCACAAAACATTTTAACATGGGGGGGGGGATCTGGAAAAGAGGGCAAAGAAAACCAGAAAACCCCTTCTCATGCAAAGTGCAGTCTGCTAAAGAATCTTGAATCAATGACCTCTTTCGTGTGCTACAGCCAAATACGACCATTTCTTTTTTCATTTTGGTCTTAAAAAAAGCAGCACACAAGACAAAAGTAGTTCTTACACATTCTAGGGCTGGGGGGGGGGGGGGCGCACTACGCACTACGACTAGTGAAAGGCGGATTCTTGCCAGAGAAAAAAGAGGCGAAAGAGAGAGGCTTTCAAGTGCAGAACAGATTTTACCCGGAGTGGAGAGTTTTACACCTCGGTTAGCAAAAACAATTATTTGGGGCTGTTTCAGAGGATTAGAGACCTGTGTGTGTGCGTGTGTGCGCCTCTCTCTGTGTCACTCAGTAAGTACTGTGGCTCAAAGCACGTCTTTCCGCATCCACGCCTTGCACTGGCGCCCCCCAACCCCCACCTCGCTCGCTTTCTTTCTTCTCGTCGGGCTTCTCCGTTAGAAGAGCCATCTCTGGATAATGACGAGGTCGGCCAGTTTTCCACATTCCAGGAGAAAAACGAGGCCGAGTTTCATGCCACGGAGCCAACAGCTGCTTTCGAGAAATAGCACCGCGGGAGGGGTCGCGGGTGACTCAGTAGCGCCGGCGCTGCTGCTGCTGCCGGATCGGGCGGACGGGTCGCCTGCCCTTGCGGGAGGACTGCCACCTCCACCCAGCCAAGCCAAGCCGGAGGGACGCCTGGCTCCTCTGCTGCAGATTTTCCGGCGCTCAAAGCGGGGCGGGGGCTCGCGACCTGATGGGATGGGACGGGACGGGTCGCGCCGGAGTGTGTTCCTCTGAGGGGCTCTCGCGGGGGCGGGGGGCGCGCACGATGCGTCTCGGAGGCGGAGAGTTGAGCAAGGAGTTAACAAAGCACCTGCCGTTAACCGCAGCGGCTGTTAGGCGGCAGCTCCGTGTTCTGCGTGCTCAGCAAACGGAGAGGGGGACCTGGCAAGAAAGCCATTATTTCCCCCCTCACGGGATCTCTTGGTTAAACCACACAGCGCATAAGGGTCCTATGCGTATTCATGTGGAAGACCCACTGAATGCGTTGGGGTTGGTCACAAGCAAGTCCAAGTATCTAGGAATAAGCCCCATTAAACACAGAAAGGTTTACTTTAGAGTAAATATGCATAGGCTGGGGCTGCAGTTGGAGGCTACAACACAGTGGGGCCGACGGGTGCAGCATATGTAAAATTTCATGTTTCCTCACTCCCCCCACCCCACATTTTTCTTTAGTCATTTTAGGATGATTACAATTGCCAGATTTTCAGTTATTTTTTTAATGCAGCAAATCTTCATGGCATTTTTTCCTGGATGCTTCTTTATTCCTTCCACATTCACTGAGCAATTCCCTCTCCCATGCTTCATTTCTGATTCCACTCAATAGTGCCAGCACTGATTATTCAGATCTGTTGGGATGCTCTGCACTTAAGGTGATTTTGCTCCATTATTATATCCACTTTTTCAGTTTAGCTTCTTTCCTTTAGATATATGAAGAAGGGAATGGCATCATTGGCCACAATCCAGTACAGAATTAGACACAATTACATCAATTGAAATAACATTTTCCTACATAGTAAGTGTAACATTTTCTACTTCCACATGAAGAACAATAGGTATATGTTACCAGGCATAATAGAATGCCCATTCTATTTTGCTGGATCCAATCAGGGACGGCATAGTGGCCGTCTTCCCAGCATGTCTACACTCAGAGACACCGGTTGGAGAGATTTAAAAGAGCTTGCAATAAACTAGCAAGCAAACAAATTGGGAAGCTTGTCAGTATGCAGCTTTTCAGCATTCAGTCTACAGTGCAAGGTGTAGTTCACTAAGACTAGCCCTTACCATGTGGCTAGATGTTCAGAATCAGGTATATTATCTTGAGTGTTACTGTGGAGTTCCCAGAAAGCACAGAAGAGCAATCATGTAATTGTGTACGTGATTCTGATGATAAGTGAGTGCAGCTACAATGGCATATTGTATTGGAAAAATGAAATCTAGGACTAGTGTAACTAGTATGCAATTGCCAGGGCATCCTGGATTAGCAGCCTGCAAGAATATATGCTCGGATCCACAGGGAGACGTCTATGTTATGAACACCCAGGAAACCCCTCTGCAGAGACAAACCTTCACAAACAGCGCTATCAGGTAGAGGCACGCCCACCAACTAAAAGCTTTTAGAACATAAGCAGAGTGTTTTATAGGTTTCTAGTTACATACACAGGAACTGGGCAGATGATGAAAAATTAATGGGCACATGATGTATTCATACACACAAAAAAGTGAGAGATCTGCAGAGGGGCATGAGATAATACTGCAGCAAATTATCAGTGATTACAGGATATTGATATGACAATCAGGAAGGCACTTGAATCATTACAGGTCTTGGGTGTAAACTTGAACATACCAGTCAGGTCAGATTGCTGCTGCCAACAGATTAACAGAACAAAAGCCTCAGTGCAATGAAATGCTAACAAAATAGCAAGCATAAATTTGCAACTAAATGTGGCAGCAAGGGGAGAGTCCCAGTGTCTTAAAGGAACAGATGACTGATGACACTCCAGGGACCAAAGGGAGCCTGGCTTGGAATTCTGGTTCTTTCTGAGCAAGAGGAGCAGGGGCACTGCAGGTTTGATTTTATACCACAAAGGCACCTATACACAAACTTTCTGTATAAAGATGTATTTGGATTTTCCCAACACTAAGCAGCAGGGCCCCAGCTAACTTGGGAGCCCCACTTCAGTATACTGTATGTGACTATCCTAGTACCATTGACCCTTGCATGGCTCCCTCTTAAAAGAGAATAAAATGATTGCTCCCATACTTAGCATCCATCCTGCCATTTCCAGACATATGAGAGGGCAGCATGGTAACCGTATTCCATCGCAGGTAGGTCAGTCCTCTTTACTTACAAACTTACAAACACGTGTACAAATAGGACTGCCCCTGTTTCACATAGGGTGAAGCAAAGCGGCAGATGCTGGGGAGCAGGAAGCAACGGCAAGGTGCTGGAGGAGTTCTGTATGTGCTGTGTGCTCCTTAAGTTAGCCTGCCACAGTCTTTGCAGTGGAGGATAGAGTCTGGTTACTAGCACTGACGGAAGAGTCAGCTGCTACTCTGTTTGGCTTTTAATGTGGAATGGGTGCCATCTTGTCCTTTGCCTCAGGCGACAAAATGGCTTGGGCCAGCCATTCCTCCAAAGCACCAGATTCAAGCAGAAAATTTCAAAGGAAAGGCAGAAGGGGAGCAGTGGGTGCTGCATGTTGGTGAGTTCTGAGTTTGTCCTGGTGGATTTTCATGATTTATCCTTTTGGAGGTGTGTGTTTATCTCTAGGATATGGATCCATTTATAGTTGCCCTGCCCAAACCATTCGAATCCCTTTGAAAAGGTGACAACAAGGGCTATGGCTGACCAGTGGCCTCTTTAAAGCTGCATATAAGGGAACAATTCTGAAGCCTTAAGTTAAAAACCTTTCTTTTTAGATGATGGCTGCCCATGTGGTTGTGGC